AGATTAGAAAAAGGTATAAAGAGAGAAAAAGAGTTGTTGAGAAAAAGGTGGAAAAGCTGGGATGACAAACAATGAAGAGACTGTTTTGCAGTCACCCGTGTGTGCATGTGCGTGTGTGTGTGTTTAATCGTATGTTTGTTTAGATGTGTGTGTGTGTATGTGTTCAGTAAGGAACCGAATTATGAGAAATAATAGAAAAAACTTTTTCAAAGTTTTATCTCTTTACCTTTCAGCTGTTTTCCTACAAAATAAATCATTGACAATTCGAATGAAATTATTTTCATTCAAATTGTCAATGATTTATTTTGTAAGTGGTTAGGATGGATAACGGCTCGGAATGGGAAATCAGAGAGTCGAGTTCGAATTCCAATAAGGTGCGATACGAAGAAATACCATTGGGAAAGGCATGAACCCATCTCTTCTATCCCCCTCCACCCGCTACGAGCTCCCTAGCAGGACAGACTGGATCCTATAGCCTTGATTGGCAACCAGTCGACGGTAACTTTTTGCGAAAAAATCTTCTGCCTTGTCAGACATGAATCAAAAAAGACATAATCGCCCAAGCGATCTTGTATGGCATTTAACTGACTGACTATCCGTATATATATGAGGCTAGATCAGATAAAACCGTAGCCTGACATAGTTATTAGCTGAATTGAAATCTTAAATTTCCCTGTATGATGTTCGATCTATGTAATGTATAGTGGAGCTTTAAGTTAAATGCATTGAGAAGGAAGGAGAAAATATAATTATAAATAAATATCTGTTGCATAAAATAATTTTATCTTATTCCAAAACTTTTGATATAAGTGCTTCTGTTGCTGCAGACAAATTTGTTTTCAAGTTAAATCAAAACAAACAGAATGATCGAACCCCACGAGACACAAATATCGATCATTTAATCATTTTTTTTCCTCTAATTTTCACTACTGAACTTTCACTTCATCGGATCCTATCCAATAATCGAACCGAAATTTTAACAGTGTACTTTAAAGTACAAAACAAATGCTCCACAGCCATCCTTTTATGAAAGTAATTTTGTAAAATTCTATTCATAAAATATGAAAAATCATATACGTAAGTTTCATTTGTATTGACTTAATTGTTGACATCTTTGACGTTAACACAAATTAATTTTCAAAGATTTATTTTCAGTCAAGAAACCTCACTGATAATAGGAAATGAGTCAAGGTTTGTTTTCCTTGTGTGTTTGCAAAGAAATGAGAATCATGATGAGAACTACATGGTCGCCATATTGCGTTTCTTTAGAAAATGGCAACTAAAAAGCAATTAGATTTTTCAATTAATGCTATTTTGAAGTTTGTTTTTATACAGCTTTTTAAAGGCTTAATTGTGCCCGTAAAATATAACAAGGTTAAACGATATAGAGACTATCAAATACAAACTTACATTGTATCGACAAATCCAATTATTTGTAACCCTCTGTATTATAAACACACACACACAAACACACTCACGTATATGTATATATATATATATATATATATATATATGCATTTCTTCATTTATCAATTTTATTCATACATTCCATTTTTCACTCTCTTTCTCTCTTCATATATATATATATATATATATATATATATATATATATATATATATATATATGAAAGAAAAGATGTATGACTGAAAAAAAGGTTTTGTGACGTATTTCATCCGTTAGGGCTTAATCGGATAATACATGTCACAAAACATTTTTTCCAGTTTGGCATACAAAACTGATCTTGATATATATAAAAATATCATTATAATATATATATATATATATATATATATATATATATATATATATATATATATATAATGAGAGAGAGAAATAAAGAGGGAGATTATTTTTGGAATATAACCTGTACTCATTTGATGCAATTTTAAAAATAAATTGCTCCATCGCATTTGAAATATTTTATTAAACAAAAATCGAATCATATACTTTACAAATTAGTATATGTTGTTGTTCTGAAAGATAAAAATTTGTCTATATTGTTCTAAAAGTTAAAATTAGTTTATATTAGTATATATATATATATTAGTATATAATTGTTCTAAAAGATGAAAAGCTGAAGAGATCAAACGAAGAAAATACCGTAAATTTCTCTTCACATTTCTTTCTCTAGCATTTCTTACATTTTATACACAGATTTTGAAGTAAAGGCATCCATCTTCTAAACCAAAACATACGGCACAATATGAATGGTCTTAATATCTTTAATTATCTAATGTTTTGGTTTGTTGCAATCGTTTTGAAATAAATTCATTTTCAAAAGACAGATTGAATGTGTCACATGGTGGTATTTTTATATCTAAATATGAACAGATTTTTTTAATACCATGTGGCGATCATGACTCTCCACAGAATCTGTGAATAACTATGATTTCTTGGGAAAGATAGTAGAGTGGTCTCCTGTTACTTTCTCCACTGTCTTGAATACTTCAATTGGGTGACATGCAAGGCCACAGAATCCAATCTACGTTGCTATTTAGATCATAGCTTCCTTAATGACAATAAAGCAAAATTGAACGCAACAGACTATGCTGGAATTTGAACTTGTATCGCTGTTTTCTCTTCCCGACTTCCATGACCTATCAATACACTCTAAATAAGTCGAACGTCCACGGTTCAAGATATTATTGCACAAATACCATTGAAAGCGGTATGAATTCATCTGTTCTTCCTCTCCCCACCAGCAATGGATTAAATAACATGACTCCCAGCCTTGGTTTGCAACCAGTCTAGTAGTGAAAACGGTAGGGAAATAACAACAAAACCCCAACCACGTGTAGCTGCAAAAAGATTGTTAGACATGACGTGCTGATATTATATTTTTCAAAACAAAAACGCAGTCGATTTCGACAACTACCGATGATCCCATTGGCCAGCGATATCCACAGTTATGTTGACAGCAGCAGGCACTGGGTCCAAGAAAATTAAGGATTGATGATCTAAAAAAAAAGAATGCGTATATATATATATATATATATATATATATATATATATATATATATACAGGGTTTGAGAAGTAACACCCTATTTTATACATGAGTGGCCAGCCAGAAGTCCTGACTTAAAATCGAGTGAATTTTCCCTTTGGGGTTGGTTAAACGAGCAAATCTACCAAGACTTTGGAAGAACTTAAACGGCGAATACAAGAAATGAGTTCCTGGTGAAATCAGTTGATGCGACTTCTGCTAGCGAAATCTGTTGGCCATATCGAATTTTAAATAAAATCTCATCCATTTCTTGTCAAAATTATAGTTAATAAATACATTTTAAAATGGGGAGTTACTTTTCAATCACCCTATATCTATCTATCTATCTATCTATCTATCTATCTATCTATCTATATATATATATGTGTATGTGTGTGTGTGTGTGTGTGTGTGTGTGTGTGTGTGCTTCATTCTGTGCAGACCTAAACCAGAAGTAGCTATTTGTTGTGAATTTCAAGTTTCAAATTAATATCCTCGTTCAAATTACAAAACTAGTCGTCTGGTTGGTACCTGAAATCGACTGTACTGTGACCAATTTTGCAAGCGTTCTCTTCACCGACGAGTGCTGTACAGTCATCGATGGTTCAAATGGATGGTTACTGGTGGAAACTGGCCTCAAAGATTGAGAAGTTCGCAAGGCGGGCATAAGGCGCAAAGTGGTGGGCCTATAGTAGTTTCAGATAGTGTTAAGATGACAGCTCAGACAAATAATTGATTTTTTCTATAGTTAAAGAAGAAGGCAAATGTCAGAAGGAAGACACACGACGGTGTTCTTTGTCACTTTCAGTCATGGAAACTAATTAATAGCTAAATTATACAGTTTTGATGATGTGGCCAAATTTTTCGTCCGAGTTTAACCCGATTGTAAACTTAAGGCTCATTCTAAAGAGAAATGTTGACATTCGGACGACAATTTATCCACAAAGACGAAATTTGGAATTTTATTCTAGATGCAGTGTAGTCTGCTTCATATAAAGACATACAGCAGACCATAAAAAACCAATGGATCTTTGCATGAGAAACTGTAAACTTTATTTCTTATTAAAGAAAAAATATGCGCCGTCCAGATTCGAACCCTCTCCCCTCTCTTTGCAAGAGCAATTATAAACTTTCAGGAATCTGAAAAAAAAAACGAGATATATTCGCTTAAAGGTCAGTATCCAGGCCCGCTTGACTGTCGAGCTTCTTTGTGGCAGAATCGGATCTAGCGACGGTTTCTTCTGCAAAAGGGGGTGCAGGTTCGAATCCTACCCCAGAACAAATGTTTTCTTTAATAGGATTTCTCGAATATTCAGTCCGGTAGACGAAATTATGCTGTAATCCGACAGATATTTTTCTTTCTAAATGTTATTTTTAGTAGATACACGTGTTTAAGCAAACGCTCCGTTTAAAATACTCGAAAAATATAAAAGAAAATATATATGTATGTGTTTCCATAATTCAGGTTACAGAAAAGAACAACATTTATCTTTACTTATGCAAGTAATATTAATTTTCTATTTTTATTATCCGTAATGCGTGGTCGAAGATGAGTTCGAATATAGTTTTGTTACTTTCTACTTATTTGTGCTGATAGAAAAACGGTGTATAAAAACACACTTATAGGGGTAAATTCAAACATTTATTTTCTATAAATCTA